TGGACTGGGTGGTGAGGGTAGCTCCTGAACCTGTGTTCAGTTTCAGGCTCAATAGTTACTGTGGACCACAAAAGTACTTAAAGATATTAATGAACAATTAAGAAATGTTTTTGAAACATGTCGATCTTTGCCCAAAATGTTTACAGGAAATAGCTCTTTTGCAATCATCATAAGAGTTCAAGGACTTTTTTCCACTAGAAATGATTTATAAAACTGTATTTTTTATGTTTTCTCTGTTTACTTATGTTTCAGCATTTTAGGGTTCGATGATATTTTACATCTGTATAGTGTTTTTCATTTCCTTAGCCTCTTCTTAGACCTGTGGTATAAGTAAGACCACATTTTAAAAGAGACTGTCTTCTGTGGATCAATAAATTCAGAATAATTATATTTGGCTGAGCACCAAGAGTGACCTCAAACCCCAGGTGTCAAGTGTGTTGGGCCCTGTCATCGGACCTTCTGCTTTTGGGAAAGATTTCTAAGAAACTGGACCCACTCTGGATTACAACAGACTAAACATTAAGCATCTTTAATCTGAAAAATGCTACAAGCAGTCCTACTAGAGTGACCTGAGCTCAGCAAAGCAGAGGTGCAGTGAGACTGGATTTTAGAACAGTGGTTCTCACCACAGGAGTGCATCCAAGTCACCACTGAGCTGGCTAAAGACAGAGCCTCCTGAACAATGGATCAGAATTTCTAGAAGGGGAGCCAGGACACCTCTGTTTTTAATACATTTCCTAGGTAATGCGGATTCATGCTAAAGTTCAAGGTCCTTCCATCCTAGAGTATGATTGGAACATGAATTTGGGGTCCTCTCTATTTGTGATGTAGACAAAGATCTGAGACCAGCAAACATTTACATGTCCCTGCATTCTGGGAATCCAGGTGTAGAACGATAAGACAGTGCTTTTTTTTACCTTCATAAATAATTTTCTCTGGAAGAAAAGTGTAAAATATTTGACCCTTGATTTTTATTTGATAAACAAGAATTACTGAAAAGCTAGTTACTAAATCTGCAAGAGAATCTATTTGTAACTGTAGGAGTACTAATTTCTGAAACTCAGAAGTACGCTCAGTTATAAGTGGGAGAGGAAAGGAGGGAGGAAAAATGGAAAGCACAGTGAATAGGAATGGCTTGTAAGCCGTGAATGTGTCACCAGGGGTTTCACTGGAGATTAAGCAACATTTTACCCTAGTTCATATGTCTCAGGTGTGTATTAAAATGAAGTGAAATAAATCAAACACAAAGGTTTGCAGTAACTTTTCATTTGTATTTACGTTGCTTTTCAGTTGCTAGTGAAGGTATCTATCTAATAAAGATTTTTAGTCATTGGTTCTAGTAAAAGTCCACTTACAGAGCAATTATTCCCTATAAATAATTCCCTATGATTATTCCCTGTAAAGTATAATCTGTGTTCAAAGTATCTGGGCATTTCTTTCTCTACCATAACAGCCATACCAACTTCTAGTATATTTAAGGTCTGACACTACTACATTAAATACCTAAATGAACAAAAGAGTTCCACTTAGTTTCCCATTATATCTTGATAATCTCAAAAAAAAAAAAAACTTTAAGAAAGCACTTTATTTCATTCATTCAATTAGCAAGTATCTATTGCAATAACTGAAGAAAAATAATGATATCAGTTGTAAATATGTAAAAATTTTACTATAGATACTCTATTGCTATAATATGTTCTATTTCTAACCATACCAATATTCTTTTTACATTTTATATTGAACTAAATTCCTGTAAATCAAGAGCAAAATATGGAACCCATGGAGTTGGGAGGCAAAAATAATTTTGACAGATTTAATCCTCTCATTTTGTAAAAGAAGAAATGCAGCCCAGAGAGGTTAAAGGCAATGCACCAGTTACCCATATATTTTTCTATGTTAAATAACATTGATTAAAACTATAGAGCACATCTTAGCTAAAAAAAAAAAAAAGCAAA